TCGGGCAGCTTCACACGGAAGCTGACCGGGCTAGAAGCCGTATCAGAACCGACGGCCTGGAGGATGCGGCATGGACCAAAGAAACGATGCCGAAAGTTGCAAAGCGTATCCGCTTCGAGCTGTAAGTGGCGGGCGTCGATAAGCACATCATCAGCGTCTTTGAATGGATGATCCATCCTCGATCGGTTCACACGTGCTGCCATGCGAGTCTGGAAAGCGGCTATGTGCTCATCTGTGGTCTTCATGATCGACATCATGTGTGCAACCCAATCATCCAGCGCGGGACAACTCGTGTCGGGGTGCATCTGTGACGGTCGAAGGAAGTGCTCAGGAACACGAGGGTGATAGCCGAGGTCGCAATAGTAAGGCGACATCCCCGTGGCTGGCAAGACGGCGTGGTTGTAGGCTATCTCCGCGTGGGCAAGATGGAGGTCTCACTGCTGGTTGTCACGAACAATCTTTCGGAGAATATCTCCGAGAGTCCTGTTCGTGATCTCGGTCTAACCATCAGTCTGAGGATGGTAAGACAAGGAGAAGCGGAGCTGAGTGCCGTATACCTTGTGGAGCCGTCGCCAGAATCGGCTGGTAAAGCGCGGGTCACGGTCAGATATGATGCTGAGAGGTAAGCCGTGGTCACGCACGACTCGGTCAAACACGATGTCGGCGACCTCACGTGCACTGATAGCATAGCGGCACGGAACAAAGCGTGCACGCTTCCTGAAGCGGTCGACGACGACCGGGATAGCATCATGACTGCGGGGGGTCGGAGGTCGAAGAGGACCGATAAAGTCCATCGAGATGGACTGCCAATGACCCTCAGGGATAGGAAGAGGCTGAAGCAAACCATAAGGTAGGTGGTTCGCACTGTTCACCTCCTGACAGGTGGGACACTCTGCGACGTAGTCCTTCACAAAGTCCTTGCGCTTCGGCCAGACATACAGGCGGCTCACACGAGCCAATGTCTTGTAGAAGCCCATATGACCGGCGACTGCCTGGTCATAGAACTCTGCTACTGCTCGGACACGTAGCTGTCCAGTGGAGGGAACGCAAATACGGGGCTCTCTGGTGCCCTGTGAACCGTGCCAGTACACAAGACCGTTGTCCCCGAGAGAGTAGTTCGGGATGGTCTTGCCACTCCGAAGGGTCGTGTGGATGTCGCGATAGTCGGGGCAGTGGCGGTACTGAGTGCGAAACTCGTCGATCACCGAGTGCTGGACGGTGGTGACCGAGATGGAAGAGAGCTGGATGTGCTCCTGGTCGTGGTCAGGGCGCCGGGATAGGGCATCTGCGACCTGATTAGTCTCACCCTTGATGTGCTTAGTGGTGAAACCAAATTCGGATAGGTCGCGCCACCAGCGAGCCTGTCGAGGAGTGAGATTCGGTTTTGTCAGAAAAGCCTGGACAACAGAGTTGTCCGTACGCACCGTGAACGGTGCCTCGTGCAGGTAGTTACGCCAGTGCCGAGCGGCATAAACTACTGCGAGAACCTCACGTTCATCAGCAGTGTAGTTTATCTCGGCGGGCAGGAGCTGACAAGAGTAGAAGGCTATCGGACAATCACCTGAGCGAGACTCGACAGTGTCGTCCTCGGCGAAGATAGGAGAATAGTCAATAGAAGGCTCGTCGGTAGCTGAACAAGTAGGCGTCAGTCGGGAAGCGGTGGTAGGGGTAGGTGGTGGGAAGCGAGGGATACGAGGATGAGAGGAATCGGGAGAGGAGGGGAAGACCTGAGAAAGCACTGCTCCTACAGCAAAGTCTGACGCATCGGTGGTAAGGATAAAAGGGCGATCGAAATCGGGTAGGTGAAGAACCGGTGCGCATGTCACCGCCTTTTTTAGGGCGCGGAAGGCGTCCTCGTGGAGGGGTGTCCAAGCCCAGGGTGGGTTCTTCCGGAGGAGGGTGGAGGTAAGGACGTAGGAATACCTAGCGTATCCCCGGATGAAATTACTATAGTAGC